AGGTGGACATCGTCGTTTGCGGTTATCGAGGTGTCCGGCCACTACCCAGACTGCCACTTTATGCTCCAATTCGGTTTTATTACGATACAGTACACGCAAATTGCCTCGATTTCAAATGGGTTCCCGGAAAGTGAGAATGGCAGTTCGTCGTCTGCCAATAGCGATCCCCCACACGCGTACTGCACTCTTTCATAATATGATTAAGCATCATGCGCTAGTTTGACATGATGTCGTGAGTGTCTCATGACCCTTGTCTGACGGTCAGATTTCGTCATGTTGCGGGACGCACCCGAACGCTCTCTCTCGCTCCCCTCCCTCCTTTCCTCCAACCGAACTGAATTACAGGTGGCCTTTCCCTAGATATCTGTGAGGATATGGTTAGGACCACTGCTTGATTTGCCTCCACTGGGTTTAAAGTGATGATTCAGTTGGAGGCAAGGGGAGTTACTATCGCAGTTAGAGTTAGAGTCAACACTAATAATAGTGCTTTTTTGTTAACGTCATGATACAGGGACTGTTCCCGTGGTTTGTTTGATAAGTGCTCTCATTCGCACTCTCACTATTACTTACGATGTATGCAGCAGATTGGATGTGCGACCTAATCCTTTTATTATGATTGATGCACGTGAATTTCCTGCTGCCATATTGAAACCTGAATTAATGTCGCCCGGGTAAAGAAATCATACTGCGAACAGCACGACCCTACCTGCAGGAAAGTGAAAATTGCCGTCAAGTTAAAAAGAAAACATCAGCAAAGATGCACAGTTGAATCCTGAAGCTGAAATTGCAGATACCTGAGGAGCAAACGATCTTCCAGTCGGCATGTCTCATTCAAAGTAACATGGAAGCGATGCACTCAGGAGTCACCTCCATGCGTTGACGAAAACATGTAATGAGGAGGGAAAAGACGTCCATAAATTTTATTGACACTTAAAGAAGATGAATACACGATCTCTGGGACAGTAGGTTTATTAGACTGAGCTTTCGGTCTCGTACAGGAGGCCATTGTCAGAGACTGTGAGAATGCGGCATCAAATGAGGAGTTTTTATAGTCAAGCCATGAAGGAGGGGATATGAGTGTAGGCGCAGGAATTCGAGATAAGCTGAGTCCCACACCGTCTTTCGAACCTTGGCCGCGGGAAAGGAGCTTGTGAGAGCAGGGTGTGTGTCAACGCATAGCATCGCAATCGGATTCTCAAAGACAGGATTCATATCGATTCTATAACTGTCTGTGCTGATGAGCTTTTACAAGACCTTGCAGGGTCCGTTCAAATAGCAGCGAATAGGTGCGTTTACTAATGCTCACTGTGAGGTAAACAACATAGTTCCTATTTAGCACACGATTATAGGAGATGTCTGCAGTGTCTTCTTCATAACATGGAGGAAGTTGTGATTTCCCTTTCACGGAGAACGCGCAGTTTGCAGACTGATATATGTATGACGGATCTCCCTGCACGTTACGCGTTTCCATCGGTGAAGTCGAGAAAACATCTGACACTCTCAACGCTTTCTTCCACATTGCTAAAACTAACAATTAATATTCTGCCACCAGCAGGAGGACGTGCCATTCCATCTATATTGTGGCCATATTCACAGTGTTCCCTCACTAGTATGCACCGTGCTACAGTTTGGAATGCTTAGCAGAGTGACCACATAAGCCCATTAATTTTGTTTGCTTTGCTAGCGTTTCGCACTTTTCATTCCTAAATTAGATATATGCAGAAAATTGACCACACGAAAAGTAACGCTTCATATGTTCGAAACAGAAAATGTCCATTTAGTTATAGTCAATCTAATGCCAACATATAATATTTTGCAAATGGCAAAACAATTTCGGTCCAATTAAATAAATGATTGCGTGTGTGGGTGTGTGTTAGAACTGCACGTACGGACATAAAATCACACAGATTTGCCAGTCGATAAATACTCTGGTTCTCAAAAATGACCACAGTGCTCTCGACCTCACTCCCGCGGTTAACCCCTGAGAAGAAATTAAACTTCAAGTGCGACAAGATCTGTTCAGTGAAACTCTTGGCAATAGATTGCTCTTCTCTCAAGAAAAAAAAACCCGATCAGATGCGCAACCCAAGTCTAGGATAGGTACTGGCACAAGAAATTGCACGAATATATCGAAATGTCCACTTTCGCCCCAAATTTATGAACATTTTGCTTGATAATATAGATTAGCCAAATTTTTCGCTCAAGAAAATGGCAAGTCTGGGGAGAGGTTGGGCGAGTGTGTAAAACGTGCAAGGTGTTAGGTGTCTGAAAACCGTGTTAACCGGGGTATCTACACGAAAGCACACGGGGAATGCCTGGTGGCGCACTGATGTGCCCAAACACTTGCGGCACAAAATCCGCGAAACCCGCATGTCGGCACGCTTCTGCTACTACCTGTGCTACCGGTATGATCTCCTGAAACATCAATATTCTCATATTGGTTTCTGTCATAGGGTCCCGTGTCGTATGTCAATATTCCGAACGCCCTAATCTGTAGAGAGGTTATTCGAATTCTACAGCAGTGAGTAATCAAGAGGCTGACAGATGACTGGCCTCAAGGCGAACAGGCAGCATTACGCATTGTCTCATATTGGTAGGATAAATGACGAATCGTAAGGCGTGACAGAATATTTGAGCTTATAAAAGGAAATGATATCGAGCTGGGGGTATACTCGCTGTCTCTCAGACCACACCCAAGAACATGCGCCTTTTCGCATTCCTAGCGTTTCTGCTTGTTGACGTCTCAGTCTCACAGGTATGTAGTTCGGATCAGTGCCTTCATCGGACATCAAATTCCACACGCTAGTCGATGTTGAAATATCCAGAGTCCATATTCTTAATGCCGTAATCTGAGGGAAGATAATTCGCATTTTTCAGCAGTGAGTAATCAAAATGCTGACAGATGACTG